CCGCCGGCCATAACAGTCATGGGTTCGTAACAGTCATAGAAGGGCTCAATGATAATGACTTCGTCGCCCGGGTTCACGAGACCCATGAAGGCACAGAACAGGGCCTCATAGGCGCCGACAGTCACCAACACCTCCTTCTGGGCATTAATCTCACGGCCGATCAGCTTTGAGTACAGTTTGCTTAAGGCGTTCACGAGTCTCAGGTGTCCCTAAATCGGTGGCCAGTAATGATAGTCAATGTATAGGACAGGTATTTAGGCGCTGGATATATATGCTAGTGATCTACAGGGAGTGCTATTGTCTATTGAATGCGAGTGTAATGTCTTACGAATCCGCGGGTGTATTGGTTGAGGAGGACATCTTGGCTGAGTGTGGCGTCGGCCAGGGCTTTGCACACGTGCTGAGGGGCAGCGAAGTCTGGAAAGCCTTGTCCTAAATTCAGCGGTTTATAGTCCTGAGCCAATTGAATGAATTCAACCCTTTATGCGACAGTCGACAAACAAAACGCATTAAAAATGTTTGATAATGTAATTCATAGCAAAACTAAATGAAAAAAGTTTTTTGTGTTGTTTTTTGTGGCTTATTCTAGTGATTCATTTGACAGGTATTACCGCGAATGACATCAAATGAATTTTAAATTAACATTTTTCTCGCTGTTTCTTATGAAACATATATCAAAAATTTTTAAAAAACATTTTTATGTAACGAATAAATTTGTTGGTAAATGACATTATAAAAGGGTTTTAATAATTATTTCTAATATATTCATACGATTAGGAGTGCCTCTTATAGCGCAGTGTGTTATCTAATTATAAGTTGTGATTACATTTAAACAAATATTATAAGTACTGTATATTCATAATGAATGGGGTTTTAAAGGCAAATAAAAAAGTGTTTGTGTTTTGTTTGAATGGATATCTTGTGGCAAATGTCTTACCAAACGCTGGGTTCGGTGTCTTTGATGCGATCGGCGGCCACTCCCGAAGACATACTTCTTATCTGACAATTGGTTTCAATGAG